GTTCTTTTGTTGATATATTAAATTTCCAAAAAGAAAAACATTCACTTGTCACAGACATGATGCGAAAATCGAGCCTACATGAAATTCAATAACACGACAAGAAAAACATATTTTTCAGCTAGAAGTTTCAAGATATTCTAAGTATCATTAGACATATCTATAGGCTGAGTTTCACATCGAAATTCCGTAACTCGGTTTTTCAATAAACACCTAAAACTAGGCTGGAAAATTCACTAAAACGATTATAACTCGGTTGTGAAACAAACTTTTTTAGATTTTCGTTACTCTCAACGAGGCGTATTTACATACTCAGTATGAACTCAAACGGGAGATATCAGTTCGGATGGTTTCCTCGTTAGAATAATCAAACACTTTAGGGTAATGAGCCTTTATTGTTGTATAGAAAGTTTCAGAAAACTTTCTTTCTGTAAGTACTGGCGGAATAAGCACTACTCTAAATGTCTACAATACTTTATCATTGTTTAACTGATATCACAGTAGCAAAATTTCTATAAAAGCTGTTGGCAATGAATTGTGATGATAACATTAAAATTTCATTAACAAAAAAAATACAGCGAGTGTATTTTTTTTTAATATTTTTTGATAGCGGAAAACTGGCCTATAATTTTGAGTAGAATATCTGTAAATCTTGAATGATTAAGTCTGAACGCGATTTTGTAGAAATTCAGTGAGTGATTCGAATGCACCCGTGAGAAACGAGAATTTATTGTAAACACATGATGAGATCAGTCTATGTTGGAAAAAGTCGATTGAAAATCGTACAAAAATTAGATGAAAAGATATTAGAATATACTATTCTACATGTCTTTATCTCTTCTTCTCAACGGTGAAAACTGTAGTCTTCTATCTTGTTCCTATCATAAATTTATTCAAAAAATATCCATGCACTTTTTTCTTTTCTTCGAAATAAACATTACTATTATCGACACATATCATAGCAAACAACTTCTATTGGCATTTCATTACTATGATATTAGATGAATAATTGCAGAGATATAGAGCATCTCTTGTATTACTAGTACTTATAGAAAGAAAGTTTTCTCAAACGTTCTATATCATATTAAAGTGCTACAGTAACTTCTTTTCGAACGCCACAAGTAAACCAATAGATAGAGTGCATGTTTGTGAAATTTCATATCACTAATGTTTAGGAATATTGCCTTCTTTTTTTAGAGCAGACTAGTTGAAATTTAAAGTCAATGATTATAAATAATAAGTAAAAGACTGTTGATTTGAAACTTGAATATAAAATTTCTTGTTTTTCTTTATTTCACATGATTAGTAACTGTAATTCAAATTTGTAGAAAAGAAATGAAAGATATATGCAAAAATTGTGGTTTAAATTAAAATTTTGTCGAATTTTAAATTTGCTTAGTGAAAATTAAAATCTTTATAACAAAGCTTATGAACGTGCATGTTATTGAGGATAAGTTCTAAATATTCTACTCACATTGTCATTCAATATCTGTTAATAAGTTTTGTGAAATAAAAACAAACTTTGCCACTTTTGATTGTTTTCTATTCTTTGCATCTTCCTGATCATCGAAAAAAACCATTTCAATTTCGTCTAGTCGAAATTGAAATTTTGATTTTGGCCAAGTAGATTTTAAATTGGGCTGAATTTTAATTTTGATCATAACCTGTGTAGATTAAGAGAGAATTCTTGGTTGAATCGAGCATATTCACTTTAACGTGCCATACGAAAAATTGTTGCATAGGTTTTCGTCAGTAGAAATGAAAGTGCATGTAAAAAAACCTCTAAATCCAAAATTTTAGCCTTCTCTGAACGATCTCTTAATACGTATTGAGCAAAAATTTGGTATGTGCCAGTGATGCTTCATAGTATTTTTTCACTTTGTACTGTTCTCAGTATATAATAATTTTTCCCCCGTATATCAAGCGAAACGAATCGAATAATATCTCAAAAGATAGAGCTAGTTATACTCTACAAAAACGTACATATAGACTTTGTTTAATCACTTGCTGAACATGAGTTTTGAGGGTCAATATGCATGTACATTTAAAAAAAACCATTCATAAATTTTGCTCAATTGTTATCATTTTCCGAGAAAAATATATTGAAAAACATGTGAGTCGACCATTATTTCCTATGGAGTTGATAGAGTGAAGAAAGCTTTACAATATTTATTCAGAGAAACAGTCAAAAAGTACGCGCCTAGCACTTGAAATCAGATGAGAAGATGAAGTCTAGGATATAAAAACAATACATTTTTTGGCGATTTCGAAACATGACAGTTGTAACCATAACATCATTAAAATTCTTTTTTATCATGAACAGCTAAGCTATTAACTACATATTCAATTTACCAGAAATATTAGTTCGAGATAGCATTTGATAGCGATATAATCTATAAGAATGAATTGTTTCTCCTGTATATTGATATGCTCGAGTCAATATTCTATCACCAATTACTGTTCAGACTGAAGATTTCAATCAATCAATTGAACCGTTTAATGAAATGAAAAGTTATCTGAATTTCTCTGTTATCTATGTGTGCTTTAGAATGAAAGAGAATTACAACATGCTTATTTTTTCCTGTGATGGCTACATATTTTGGTTTTTAGTGAATTGTCTGATTCCTTGTTTTCCAGTTTTAATATAGGACAGAACTATCCAAACTGTATTCTGCCATTTGGGCTCGATTTGGGCGCGCAAAAAGGTCTCAATAGAACTAGAAAATATCCAGAAGAACTCGTATCGATGAGTCTTTGAAGCCAGGTGATGATTATTCAACTGAAATTTTAGACCCATTTGATAATATTTAGAGTAAAATAAAATATCCTTGTGGTTGTGATTGTGAATAAAGACAACAACATAACGTACAGCTTTCTCCTGTTAATGATAACTATTTCTTATGCCAAAGGTTCTTACAGTTGGACCATAGATCCGTAATACTACAGATCGCAATCAGTTTTTCATTGATCTAGTAAGAGAAAAAAAGGTCCTAAAACCTATAGAAAAGCTTAGCTGTTCATGATGAAAAAGAATTTTAATGATATTATGGTTAAAATCGTCATGTTTCGAAATCGTCAGAAAATGTGTTGCTTTTATATGCTAGACTTCATCTTCTCATCTGATTTCAAGTACTAGGCGCGTACTTTTTGAGTGTTTCTCTGAATGAATATTGTAAAGCTTTCTTCACTCTACCGACTCACATGTTTTTCTATATGTTTTTCTAAAAAAATGATAAAAATTGAGCAAAATTTATGCATGTTTGTTTTTGCAATGAACATGGATATTTTCCCTCAAAATTCATGTTCAGCAAGTGATTAGACAAAGTTTAGATGCACATTTTTGTAGAGTATAACTTGCTCTATCTTTTGAGATTTTGTTCGATTCGTTTCGCTTGGTATATGGGAAAATAATTATTATGTACTGAGAACAGTACGAAGCAAAAAAATACAATGAAGCACCACTGACACATACCAATTTTTTTCTTAATACTTATTGAACGATCATTCAGAGAAGGATAAAATTTTGGATTTAGAGGTTTTTTTACATGCTCTTTCATTTCCACCAATAAAAAACCTATGTCACAATTTTTCGTATGACACGATTTCTCGAGTGAGCGATGGACTATCTCTTAAGTTATCAACAATACTATTGTCATTCATGCTGATTTCTCCTAAATTAAAACTGACATTCGACTTCAATATGCTTAATTAGAAAAGAAAAAGATAAACTTTTTAGTCACTCATCTAAATCGATTGACTCTTCTAGATTTCAAATTTTGATTACTTAACAAAAACGTCATTGAGATCGATGACATGACCATTTCGTTTATTATAGACATAGATCACATAGAGGTGTGGCAAAAATTATTCATATTATTTTTTTTTGATAGAACAGTCAAAATACACACTTTTAAAATTTGATGAATATCAAAAGAATCACCATGTCATCTAGTATTTATACTATAAAAGTCACTATAATTTTGATAACAGTGACATTATTCGTTCTTCTTGATTTCAAAAAAAATGAATTATGAAATCATTAATTAGATGCTGGAAAGAACAAATAACAAGTTCCTACTATTTTCTTCGCAACTCGATTCTAATTAGTGCATAAACAGATTTAGTTAATCAAACATCACGGATCTTTATTTTGACAGACTTGTGCAAGGGAGTTGCAAAACGAATTTTTTTTTTTGCCAAAATATTATTTCCACGTGTACGATAATGAGAATCATGGATATTTTCTAATTTTGTTCGATAGTTGTGATCAAAATGTTTTGAAGAGTCTATCATAATGACAATATTTTATTTTGATATAACAACCAAAAATATTGTTTTTCAAAATTGTCAGATAAGATGTTTTGATCCCAGGTCGGACGATACGGTTACTTTACGGACCGTATTACGGCCGTTTGAGTGGATGCAGTTTTACGGACCGTACTACAGTGACTTTTTTACCGTATACGGCACCGTATGCGGTACCGTATTACTGCATCCACTCATACGGGGTAATACGGACTATTTACGGCCGTAAACTAGCCGTTTTTTCATCGTTTACTGTCCGAGAACGATCCCGTAACGGGTACCCATTTTGATCGACCCGGGATGAAAAGTGAAATCAGCGTCGTATCATTCTTCTGTAATCAACTTCCAACTGAGTCAACTAGTTTCTTTGTAATATTACGTTCGATGAAATCTTAAGCTTGTGAATGGCCAAGAAAATAGTGCAAACGTATCCCTTGTTTTTTCTTTTATCTAATGCGTTTACAATTAAATTTTTAGAAATCCTTAAGAATGACAAATGTCACTGTTATCGAAATCATAAGAATAATTTTTGCCACACCTGTGTCTCATATCGTAGTTAACGATAAAAGAAATCATGTCATTACAATCTACCAATGATCAAAACTAATTATTCATAACAATCGATCTATATTCTCTGTTTACTTTTAGGCTGAATTTATTTTTGCTACGTAACTACATTTTATTTAATCCTAGTGTAATTACATTGAACCTGAAATTATTTTTAAACTATAATATTGAATAAAGAAAAGACACGAAAAGACGATTAAAGATAATGAATTTCGATTGCTATTGGATTTTCCATATAATTTTATATCCCATGTTTGTCGTAAAGCTTGTCGAGCTATTTGACATTCACGTGCTTCCCATTTGTTACTACACATGATTAAAATTAATTCTTCTGGATCATCTTCGCATGCATAATCAAATCCTTGGCTTCGAACTAATTCTTCTAAATCGAAAAGACTTTTTTCACCACATCTTTCTCTATTGAAAATCAAAACAAAGAAATTAATAATTTTTTAATAAAATAAAATAATGAATAAGCATACACAACTGTTCCATCGGGTGAATGTAAAACAAGAACATTGACTTTTGTAACACGATATGTACCATTTTGTCGTAAATTTGGAAGTTCGAAAGAAGCAAAATAAGAATTATTACGAAATGCTGATCTGTGATTTGCTTGGCTTCCATTTAAAATAACATAAATTTCACCGGATGCTAACTGTGCAAACTTAGATAAAAAATAACAAGCAAAAATTTCAATGAATCTAATTAATTTTTTTCTTTTATATTACCGTTTTCGATGCCAATCCCCAAAAAGCAAAATCAGCCCATTTATTATCTTTACAAATATATGGACAACTAAAAAAATCAAAACCTTCTGTATCATTTTCTTTTCCACACCATATAAGGCCATCAACCATAGCGGCTGCCAGCGTATCTTCTAAAGTTACATAATTGCGACCATTGGCACCATAGGCATGAGCAATAGTATAGGTGCCACTCCAGAACATTGCCTAATATGAAAAACAAATAAAAATTGAAAAACAAAAACCAGAATTTTCTTTAACTATTTATTTACTCGATTGATGACATGTACACCATCGAGTGCTAGATCAAAATAGCGTTCATATGTACTCATATTCATATTACAATATGACTTGTATCGAACTGCTGATTCAAATGCTTCATAAAGTTGCGTACAGTTTTTAATGTAACTGAGGACAAAAAAGAAAATTCAATTTTTTTTGTTTTTGTTTTCAAAATATAAATATTTTTCTTACGGTTGATTTGTTAGAAAAAGACCACGTTTAACATATTGATATTCTTGACAACGACCAATCATTATTTCTTTAAGACCACAAGTTGTCCCATTAGTTTTCACATATGGACTCCTGCATGGATTCAATAAATCTTGATTAGTAACTCTATGAGGTTTTGTCTTCGTTCTATTAACATTTGTCAATGGTTTAAGACGTGATCGATTACTATGAGTTTTATTACTCGAATGAGATGCTTCTAAATGAATATTTTTTGACGATGTTCCATTGAATGATGTCATACTATTGACATTCATTATGATTAATAGCAGAAAGACAATGACTAAAAGAACATACGTATTTTTCTTATTTTTATCTATATTTTAAAAATGACCTTACGATAAAGTTCACAGTGAGACATTCTTGTATGACACTACGTAGTTATGTATTCATTATTCAAATAAACAAATAAATTTACAAATATATGCTAATGATAATAAAAAACAAATTCAAGGCAGTAAAATGATAAAATTATATGGCATGATAAACATAATGATGATTCATTCTTTTTTAGACGCAAAACGTAAGATAAATACAGTAAAACACAACAAAGGTTATAGTGATCGACAATAATCTGCCATCCCTCCTATCTCGGCTACCTATGTAAAAAAAAAAAATAGGCAAAACGTAACTTTTTAATATTTTCAAAAGTTCTTTTTAAACAGGAAAAAGTACTTTTCATACTTTTTGACTAACATGCACTATGAAATACTTTTTCAAGTGGAAAAAATATGAGAAAGTACTATAAAAAGTGAAAAATATTAAGAAAAGTTACTTTGTTTTACTTTATTAATATTAAAAGTATTTAAAAGTAATTTTTGTTCACTTTTTTACATGGGTATTATCCATACTCGAAGTCTGAAAATTTGGATGCACATACTGCATTAAAAATTTAGTTCAGAAATAAGAAGTTGCACCGATTGCTTAAATACAACGAAAATTATGTTGAAGAGCACTTATCTTTACTTCAACCTTTTAGGCTAAAAAACATTGTCTATTAAACTTTTCGTTACCTGTTATCAAATACATGAATAATTCTTGATATTTTAGCGTGCACATAGAGTCCAGTCTATGCCTTTTCTAAGTCAAAAGATCAAGTAATTTAATCGAAAATTGCTGTCTCTGAGTTCTTTGTATCAACATCATGATTATTGATGGAATTTTCATTTAGTAGAAGGTTCTTTCATGAAAAGTTAATTACGAACAAAACTTATGCACAATTTTCATCTTGATTTACTGAACTATTACTGATTTATGATCTACAAAGTTCAACAGATAGTGTTTTTCTCCACCCGGATGGTCATGGAATCATGCTTTTAATTCTTGGAAGGGCTGATGAACTTCGATGAAATTTATACAGTAAATAACCGAAATAAATCACTAAATATTGAAGAATGAGCCGACTCACAAAGCTCTTCTTTTTCAAAGTTACTAAGTTAAAACGGTAATAAAATGGAGGTAAGCTCGTGTCTTTAGCCTTCATTCATGGTGGAGAATTTGCACTCAAATTTTTAAAACTGGTGCATACATAGTGGCCGAAATACTAGGGGAAGGCGAGGCGTGGGAGACTTTTATCTACTATTGTACATCAGCTTCTGTTATTGTTTTTACGAAGTTACAAAAATAAAAGTTATAAATGTGATAATATAAGATGATGGATAAAGTAGAAAGAAAATGACAGAGATCTATCTGATGTCTTTGCTTTTTTTATAACTATTTCTGCCTTGATCAAAATACTTGATTGCTGACTGTGTATGAGCACTAGAGAAAACTATGCTTCAATTTTCTGATAGCAACTATAAGAAGAACGACATAGTTAATTCATTATTGTATCGATCAAATCTACTCTTTTTATTTTGTCAATCTAATTCTCCCAAATATCAACATTAGTTCTTATAAAAACAAGTATTTTTTTTTCCATTAATCATGTGTTGGATTGCTACTAATAAAAACTATTATTTCCTGATTCTTTAAGCAAACGTCAACTAATTATCATAACAAAAAATATGACATCTAAATTCAATTTATATCTAAACTATAAATCATAAATAGACGTATGAGAGTGTCATATTAGAATTAGTATTAGAATTAATTGATAGTCATTCTAATGCCTAATGACATTATTATTGAAATTGATTTTCAAGCGTTGCTATTATTTTGTTTTAAAATTAATTAATAATAATGTTTTAGCATTAAACTAACATATTTGTTAGCCTAATACATGTATTATGTATTGCGTAACAATCTGGCAAGTCAACCTCTAAAGTATCTAATTACAGAACGCTTTTATTCTATTATGAGAATGACGCTTCTCGATACAAAAAAAAAGACTGTTACTTATTATGAGAAAACAAGTTTCAATAATAGAATAAAAGCATTCTTTTATTGAAAATTTTTTAGTTTGAACTGTCAGAAGTCTAATGGCAGATAAAAACAATCTATCAAAGTTAAAAGTAATGCTAATCTAATTCTAATGACAAATAATAACAAATCATTGAGGTTAACTTTGATATCAATGTTGAAGAATTACCTTTTTGTTTTCAATATTCATGCTAATACACTCATAATCTCACAAACTTGTTTTCATAAATAGAACAAAATTGTACTGGTACTGGAAGTAAACTCTTGGAATAGAACAACAATATTCCATTATTTAGAAAACTCTTCTAGTAACAGAATAATGTTGTTCTGTGTATAAGAAAAAAAAACCTTTTTAGAACAGATCAGTTCCTGTCAACAAAACTGTTGACACAGACCAGTTACTATCAAAGAAACTGTCTAAGTAGTTCATCTGAACTTATGAGCTTGAGCTGCAGTAGGTTTATTCATGCACACAACTGCTAGCTGTATTATAGGAATACTTATCAAAGTGATATCTTGTTCATATAGACTGAAAGTGTGTGTTAATAAAAGACTACAGTCAATAAGAAGAAACTGTTTATCATCTTCCACGTCTCAAATATGTCATGAGTATTTACACAACATAACAACATATTGAAAAATACGAGGGTTATTATGTTAGATTTCATAAGCCTGAAATAGAAAGAAAGATAGTATCATATAGAATATGATTCATACATCAGATTTGCTTTACTTTTGCAAAGAAATGCCGTTGCATGTATACTATTGATTCTAGCAGAAAAGAATAATAGAAGAAACAAGGCGATAATCCGTGACGTATTCTTATGACACGCTGATTTTACCATTTAATGATAAAGAGCATCATTAACTTCAAGAAGGAAATGCTTGTGCAAATATTGAAGCGCTCAGGGCGTACCAGACGTACTGATTTTTGTAGATAAGAGACCATACAAGAGAATTAATGAAGCTATTAATATAGCGAATATTTTTTCCAGTAGTCATACTTATTGTCACACAATCAATTTGTTAAAAATATTTTTCGAATCGTCTTTGATTTGAAAAACTCATTCTCTTCATTGCGGCAGCCAATAAAGCTCTACGGAACTATTCTGATCGGTGAAATTCTTTTTTTTTTACAAAGTCAAAAAAACCAATACGGCGATAAATGAAGTGATAATAGAAGTCAATCTGTAGATTTTCCATATACAAAAGAGTAAAAATTCCTTCACTCAGAAGAATTTCAAATAATAAATTTTTATTACTTATAGTTTAACGTAGTAAGTTAGTCTTACAATAACACTTAGTATCACTTCTTAAATTAACTAGTTAAATACTCTTAAAGAAAAGATACCGATGTCGACACAAAGCTGGCTCTTTATCTTCTATACTATGCCAATTCTCCAAAACCAAGTGTCAAGGGGAATGCCAAAGCACAAACCATCAGTTGGCGTTAACGACAAAAGAAGACTTGATCATATCAGTCGAGCTGATATTGATGAATATGTTTATTACTATCTCACATCAGAATCGATTATAATCATCTTTTTTACCAATCTAATTTTACGAGCTCAATACTATGTAGTTTTCAGGTACTCTAACTAATCGATAAACTGAATTTAATCAAATGAACGTTAATTGTTGCATTAAGCTATGTAAATCAAGATAATGATTCTTTTTTAACTAAATATGATTCGAAAGATACTTTCAGAAAATTTTTTGAAATAAAATGTTTATGCCTGAGTAAGTATGATACTAGCTGAAGTAGTTGATGTAGTTAAAAATTTATTACGTAGTTTCACTCAACGAGATTGTATCTGCAAAAATCAGTACTTTTGCTAGGCTCTAAATATATCAGAGGCAATAAACGCATTTCACAATTGAAAAAAAGTGAGTATTTAGATTCAATAAAGCTTAATATATTCGATATCAGAATTTATTAAACTCATTAAATCAGACGAAATTCTATCCACATCAAGAAAAGTGCACAACAGACTTGCAATATTTCTACTACTACTTTCAATGTTATAAGTTGAAAATTTGAATCTTCGAAGATTTTCTTATGTAGTTATACAGCTGTAGAGTATTGAAGAGGATTTTTAGAACAACATAAATTGTATTCATGCTCTTCTGACAGTCTTCATCATCAACAGCATCAATTATTTCGATCTTGTTCTTAAATTTTCACTTAGAATCCAAAAGAATGCCTATAAAATGTAAGCCATTACAATCGAATCCAGAAGTGTTTCGAATGAGACTGATAATCTTCTCATTGTCCCTTAACACTTTACTGAGCTTCACTTCTTCTCTGGTGCATGCTTCAATGATCAGCTTTCATTATCGTGCATACCGATGACAAAAGTCATACTTGCGAAGTAAGAATTATTTTTTTTTTGTGCTATGCGATTTTGCTATAAAATTCTAATTAACAATACTAATGATAGCAATTGATGTTGGATTATAATGTTTCAACAAAATATTACGGAAACTATTTATTTCTATTCTAATATCTATTATGACAATACATTTCATCAATACATCTATTAGTACTACCCATAATTACCGATTGTTAATCGTTGGCGGTACAATATTAACACTCAATGCTGTACTCTCGGCTTCAAAAATGCGTAGTATTTGTACATGTTTACTTGAACCAACCGATTGGATCGGTGGATAATCAACAGCTGAATTGTTAAGTGCACCTGATTTTGCTTATCACGTGATAAAAGATAAGGATACCAATTTTACTCTAGATGTTGGTTCTATTGATCGACAGTTAAATAATCAAAATCTACTTTTTNATCTTGATGCTCAAAGAGGAATATTTAAGACGCTTGCAATTATTAGCGAAGACGTACACACACCGATGTCAAGGGGCAATCAATTGCAGACGATAACCAAGTGATTAATTTTATTTGCTCCATCTTTAAGTTTTTTTCTTTTTTTCTCATATCATTCATTTCATTTTGTTAATACCTTAAAATAACTCTGTTTTTTTTTCTCCAACGAATAAATAGCCGTACTTTAACTTAATAAAGGCCACTCGTTTCCTCAAAAAAAGCTCTTGGATTCGATACATTCAAATTGCATGAAATTTTCAGCCCAATATCATAGAGTCTTTGGGAGATATTCAACAAACAGATGTCACAAGTAGCTCATTGGACAACTCAAAAATCTCTGTGGATCTTCATTCTATATACTCAGTCTTTTTTTGTTTTTGAAACAGCATGTCAGGATGCAGAATATGACAGATGTTTTTTCTTAAGCTGAGAAAGTGTAACCAGAAAAAAAAACTGAAAAAGATTTTTCGCTTTTTCTAAGCATACTTTTCTAGCAGAAAATGATGAAAGTTTTTGAAAAAAAAAACGAGATGTCAAATAAAAATTCATATTGTTTATGAAAGATCAGATCTCTGGCTATCATCTTAATTTCAATTCTTCTCTCAAAAATTTGATTTTGTTTTAGAAGGGCTTAAAACTATTAAATATATAAAATCATGTAGTATCGAATTGCCTTCATAGCTATAACATCTTTGTTTAAAGATATAAAGAACAATAGAACAAGTTTAATTCATTTTAAAATATAATTATCGAGAAGATTATCAACTAAACGAAAATATTCAGATTTAGCTTTTCTTATGTTTTTTTTTTTGTATATTTCTTTTTTACAGTATTTCAATATTTTTAACTTAATCATTAATCATTGAGAGGCATTCATTTAAACGGATAATTCAATATATAAAATGAATGTCTTTTTTCTGTTCTCAATCGAACAAGTATCGCAACAACTACTTTTTTCATAACTTTTTATAATCAATTCCAATGATAATATTATCTATCTTTCAGATTAAATAAAAAAGTGTATTTATAAGAAAATTTGCACAACAAAACAAGCTCAACTCCAAATCATTGGTCTATAAAAAGTATAAAAAAAAAGAAGACAGACATGATAAAAGGATGAAAATGATACGCTTGTTGCTATTTTTTTTTTATCATATCATTTAATAAAGCAACTTGAAGATATTATAAAATAAGGTACTGGTATAAAAATGAAGCAATGAATAAATATTCTTATGTATCTTATCTTTTTATTCTCACATCGTTAATGTATCCTTTTATCAGATTTACTGATAACTAGAAACATTCTTTTCTCATCAAGCAGACTCTAGTTATGAAAAAACTAAGTGGGTAATTGTTTCATTTGCTATTAACAACATCTAAGTAGTTTTTCTTCAAAAATTATTTTATTTATCTAAACTTCTCTAACTAATGTAGAAGAAAGTATGCGTTTCTAAGTACTTAGAAAAACCTTCGTATAATAGTATTAAAATGAACCTTACCTATGTCAGATGTTGACCATATATAACCAAATGTTCTTTTTATACTAGAATGCTGCAATTTCTTAGATATTTTCTATCGCCTTAAATCTCTAAAATATGTAACGAATATCTACATTAAATGATGATATATTAATCGATATGAAAATTAAGTAAGTTTGACACAGAGACAAGAAAAATGATATGATAAAGATCATGATACAGCAAATACATCAATATATGCCTATTCCAAGGACACTACATTGACGCATGTGCTTTACTATCGATAGAAAAAATGAATAAATACAGACAAGAATACAATTATGCATGCTGCTTTGTAGTTAGAAGCCAATTATATAAAACCCTTACATTTGTTTAGCAGTCGACGTAAAAGGTCTTTAACTTTGAGAAGCAATTCTACTGATAGATATTCATAGATTTTCCTATTAATTTCTTCTTCTAATCAAACAGATAGGTTTCCTATTATTTACTGCTTGACACAAATGATCCATCGACAAATATCAACGTATGTGATACATAATTACTGCTGACAAAACTAATTATCTGCTAAAAATGTCACTATAACATATGATTCATACAAACCTAAATACGTCGTTCACATGTAAGCAATGATTCAATGATAGTCCTATAATACGAATCCTATTTGGAATGTACTAATATTCATCCGATGAAATTTCATGTAATAACGATTAACTAAATGTACTACAACTACTAAAGTTATGCCTCCACTTGAATAATATATTATAGTCTTATGTTTGGTCTTTAGATTAGTTAGAAAAATATGTTTGTACTTATTCTTATATTTTCCATAACAATACATTCCATCCATTCATCTATACGTACTATTGATGATTGCCAATTGTTGATTATTGGCGGCACAACATCAGCATTAGGTGCTGTACTATCGGCTTCAAAAATTCTTAGTATTCGTACATGTTTAATTGAACCAACTGATTGGATTGGTGGACAATTAACAGCTGAATTGTTAAGTGCACCTGATTTTGCTTATCACGTGATAAAAGATAAGGATACCAATTTTACTCTAGATGTTGGTTCTATTGATCGACAGTTAAATAATCAAAATCTACTTTTTTCACATATGCTTAATAT